ATCATCTAATTATTTATCCTTCAATCATATCTTTAATTTGATTTTATAATTTATCATTTATTCTTCAATTAAATCTTTAATTTATTTTTATAATTTATCATTTATTCTTCAATCAAATCTTTAATTTGATTTTGTAATTTTTATCATTTATCATTTATCCTTTAATTTGATTTTATAATTTGTCTTTTAGCCACCAAGAAGTGTTACTATTTGATATTTTTGGAAAATTAGATGAACATCAACATGAGATATTCAATTTTCTCATATATAAAAATCTTTGTATGTACTAAAAAATACTTATAACAATAACTTTACAGAAACATAAACTAACAAAGTTTAAAACATATATTCAAAAATAATAATTAATATCATAAGCATAAATTAATGACTATAAAAAATATATATCAGGATCTATAACAATAGAATGAAATACAACGGAAAAAATTGAGTCCACTGAATGCACAGTGTCCCCTTAAGGAAATTATTCCCCTCTATTACCGAGGTTTAAAGGAATAGATTCTCTCAGGATGTAACGATTCTATTCACAAGTGCATTGATACAAAAATAATGGTGTTAGTGAGCCACTCAACATGAGCAAAATACACGAATATTTAATTGTGTAGAAAAAGAAGAAGAAGTTCAGAATTTTCATTGTTTTAAAATGAGAGAAAATCCCTTTATTTATAGACAACAAAGGGTAGTGTGAACAAATGTTTATTGTGCTTTATCGGAAATGTCACAACTCTTTGGAAAAGTTACAATCCTTAGAAAATGTCACAACCTTTCATAAAAGTCGCAACTCTTCATATAATTTACAACTTTTCATAAACGTCACATCTTTTAATGAAATGGGAAGGCTGTTTTTGAAAATAAATAAATTTTAAAGGAAATTCTAACTTGTGGTGGCGCTACGTAGGCGGGCATGGGTTCTCTTTTATATAAACCTAGTGATAAATGCTATTAGCTTATGTTGAAGTTCATATGAGAAACTCAAATCCAAAGGTGGAATAAAACTTCCTATCCTCAAAGTTTCGAAGCATATAGTTCTCTAAGTCGCCATCATCTTTTCATCAAAAAAAAATTATTTAGTCAAAAGTCACTATCTAAATGAAAATTTGAATATATTACATATAAATATCACAAGAAAAATACCAAAAAGGAACAAAAAAAAAAAGTAACTTGGTACTGCTTTCCAGAAAATATGACAGTATATACATGTATCTAATTCTAGATACCTTCAGGTTCACAATCATAAAGATTACAAGCTCTAAGTGTTTGTTGAAACGTCAGCACCTACAAAGAGATCAAAAAGCAACTGTTAAGAAGCTGAAAATAGTAAAGGAACTGTATCGAATGTATACGCTTCTCTGCTAAAATATTATTGAAAGGGAATACGGAGAATTGAAGGCTATTCTTTTTTTTTTTCCTTTTTATAAAATTGGGGTAGGAAAAATGAGGATGAAATTACAGTGTGGGTGGAGAATTGAACCTAGGATGGGAGCTACTGAGACTCCCCAAACGGAAGGCTATTCTGTTTTAGCAACCACCAATGTTTCTGGTTTGAAAAGGAGAGGAAGTTTTAGGCCATCTTCCTCAAATCTCGAACTATATAGTTAATTTAGTTCATAACCCTTAAGCTTTAGGAGAAGTCGGGAAGAAGAGATATGATGAACACTTTGGCTCTTAGGCCTAAGCAAATATCAATTGTTAATCATAATCAGGAAGTATAGGAGAGAGATCTAGAACGATTTGGAAGGGAGAGGAAAAGGAACATCATTTGTTAAAATATCAATTATGCGTAATTATAATTTTACCCCTGCATATAATAACATAATTACGAATTTGCCCTTGGTCGTCCTGGGCTTCACTCTTCTATATAATAGAAATATCATTAGTTGACTATTCTTTCATTCATTGAATATTTAATTAATCACCTTTTTACTCTTTCCTAATTACTTGTCCATTTTTGAATCTCATTTTACTAAAAACATAAGATTTTTAAAGTTTTTACTTTTTCAAAGTAATTAATTGAGAGTATAGTAGGTAAAAAGAAATTGTTGGACAAGTAATTAGGGACAGATGAAGTATTTTGTATGGTGCTTAAAAATAAAAAATAAGTAAATAATTTTATTGTGTGAATTTTTCAAATAAATGTGAACACTTCAAAAATAATTAATTGGTAATCATATTTAATGATTTTTTTCTTGATTTAGTAAGCTGGATAATTATTTTTAGTATAATGATCAACTAATATAGGACAGAGAGTATAAACAACTTATTATTGTGTAATAATATGATACTAATTATTAACATCAGGCGATTAATTGTTTAACCTCAGTGAAATTGAATTGGTGCGTACCAATTTGAGTTAAGATTGATGTAATTATTTGTCGAGCATTTAACAAAACTCACATGTGTATATCAATTTCTGTTTAGATTAAATATAATTACTTGTCTAGCATTCAACAAAACTCACACCATTCATTTCAAATAGAATTTGTCAGCACACATGGGCAGTCTCACCTATAGACTACGCTTTAATTTAAAGACTAAACATATAATTGAAGGTTAAAATAGTGTGATTAAGTAATTTCCTCCATTTTTTATAGTTGAGGAGCTAAGTGCCGCATACGACTGGGCTGTGCAATATTCTCTTCAAAGCGGAAATTATATAAAAAATAATTGAAAAGCTTTTAACTTTGTAATTAAATAATTACTAAGTGTATGTACTCATTCGGTCATTATGTTGTTCATGATTTGCAGTATCGAAGAGAAAATAATAACACGGAAATTTCTACTAAAGTATGAGTTACTTTGATTTTTGATTGCTTGTATGAAGTACTCCAAGATAAAGACATAGAAAAAAGTTGTACAAGCTTTGCCAAAGCGATTCAGGGGCAACGTTGTAACATAGTGTTAAACGATCTCCAGTTTCATATAGTAATTGCAGTCATATAAGAGCAAGTCAGGTGCAATTCAATCCTTATTCCTAGCAATGAGAAAGAGGAGGGTCAAAGACCTATACAAAGTGAGATTCTATTAAAATTTGGAAGAGCACTAGCTTGGCTGGCCTAGAGTGGTTAAGTGGGTTGTTTAGTGTTGTTTTCGAATGTCTAAAAATGCTTGAAAATGAAGGTGGAGTACAATAATTTTTGTTGTGTAGCAACTATGATAATAATCAGAATTGTGACAACAATAGAAGTACCAAGATTTCAAACAACCATGAAGGTTTGGGGGAGGGGGATAGAGATTAGGGTGCGGAGGGATGTGTCAATTATTGAGAATCAATTTGGATTCAGGCGGTCAACTGCAGAGAAGAGATAAATAGAGTGGTATAGGAAAAAAAAAAGAGACTTACAAATGATGTTCATTGACTTAGAAAAAACTTCTAACAAAGTTTTTAAAGGAGGTTCAATAGAGATTTATAAAGGCTAAAAACGTACTTATGGCATACAATCCATACATTAGGGAATTAAGATCATGTACGAGGGGGTAAAGACCTGAGTGAGGACAATGTGTGAATATTCAAAACACTTCACAAACATGATAGGGTTGCACTAGAAGTCAACTCTTAGCCTATTTTTATTTGTCTTGGTAATAGATGAAGAGACGGGACATATAAAAAGAGATTACCATGGTATAATGTGTATGTTATTTGTGAATGATATAGTATTGATTGACGATTCATGCAATGAAAATAACGACAAGTTATAGGTTTGGATACATATCTTGGAGTCTAAAGGGTTCAGATCTCAGGAAAGGGACTTGGGTTCAGGGTTGAGTCTTTTTTCGGGTCTCGAGGTTAGGGTCTCAAGTCTCAAGGTCGCGTATTAAGGTAGTGTTCGGGTCACGAGGTCAATTCAATGGTCGGCTCTTGAGGTCGTGGTCGGTGTCATGGGCGGGGGTTGAGGTTCAGTTTCTGGATCAGATCTCGAGGTTGAACTAAATATAGACGATGAATTTTACTTACATTTTTCAAGTGTACGTTACTAGAAGAATAGTATAATTTATAATTCACCAAACTATTTCTATTTAATAAATATTTCTTGTGAGTTTGGAACATTATAAGAAAATGAATATAAGTATAGTTAAAGAAAACATATAAATTTTACTCATATGGATTAAAAAAAAAATCAACAAAATAAATACTAAGTTTTGTTATATTTAACTCAATTTGATTAAAATATTTAAAACATTATCCTAATTAATTTTATTTTGCTCTTCAGCAAAATCCAGTCAAACTGAACCATGAACATTTTGGTTTACACCAACATGAATTGTGACGGATGATTGACATCTCTTTATCTTCAACTCGAAATCTCATGTTTGAATTTATGAGAATGAAAATAATTCTTTAGGGAGTGTCACCTTGAATCCTACAATGCATGAATTTTACTTTAATTGAACCATAGTACAAATATCAAATTTGGTGAAGAATAAAAAAATGGAGAAATTTCATAAATATGTATAAATTATACGGACCGTAACTATAATTTACTTATTAACAATTTATAGCTATTGCTATTATTTAGTATATTTGTATTCGATGTATGCATTCACTTAAATTTGTTGTATCAACATATACAGTCTCGTCAGATGCAATCAGCCAATCACGTATGCATTCACTCAATTTTATCATATCAATGCAAATAATCGCATTGGATACAATACGATATATTATATGCGTATGCTTAATAAGTTATACTCTCATACAGTTGCGTTGAATATAGTCATGATAAATTGTTTAAAGCACTCAAAAGGTAATTATGCTTGATAATTTTGTGAAATTATGCTTATAGTGTATTTTACCAAAAAATAAAAATAAAATTGGGTACCAATTAGTTTTGGGAGTAGAATGCAAATGGAAATAAAAAACTACCAAAAAGAGATTTTTAAAAAGATTTTAGTGTAATTCCATCCTCTTTTTTTTTTCTTTTCTGAATAATCTAATTCCTTATTTGTGGGATAAATAAAAGTTTGATTACAGATTGTTCTCTCTCCATCTCTTTCTCTCTCTCTCCATGGCCGAGAGAACAATCCTTGTTTTTCCCTTTTCTCCCAAACCCTAACGCTCCTTCATCAAGAATCTTCAATCAAATCTCTATCTTTCTCTTTTCTTGATTTCTATCTTTTTCTTCTTTTTTTTGTTACAGATTTCATTACATTTTCTTCTTTCAGATTTCTGATTGATGAATCTTTCAAATCTGGTTGAGATTTGGATGACCTAAATGATGATTCCAGATCCGAATTTGGTCTATTACTCTTGTGTTGCAAAAGGAACAACTATCCTTGCTGAAATCAATTCAAAAGATGCCGATCTTGGATCCCTAGCTTTGAAATGCCTTGAAAAGACTCCGCCTTTGCATACCTTTTTCTCTCATACTATCCGAAACAGGACATATATGTTCCTGATAGAAAACCCATATGTGTTTTTCGCCATATTCGATGAAAAAATTGATAAATCGGATGGTCTTGCGTTTCTCAAAGGGGTTGAAGGGGCGTTTCGTGGAGTGATTGAGAGATCTTCTGGGAAGAAGCGTTTGGATAAATTGAATTCGCATTGTTTTCAGGGAGAGTTGAATCCTGTTTTTCATCAGCTGCTGGATTCAAGTATTGTGGATGAGGGTTCTAATTCCCCGAGGAGTGAGCTGGATCATGGACGAAGCGCGAGTTTGGATTCTGTTAAAGGGAAGAAAATTGGGTCAATGCCATTGCTTGCTGATGCTGCTAGTAGCTTGAAGCTAAAAAAGAAGAGGTTTTTCGGGCAGTTTAAGAAGAGGAATGATGAGATGTGTGAGAAGAGAGTGGATGTTTCGGATGATGGGATCAGATTGAGCAGAGATTTTTCAGTTGTTATGCAAAAGAATGGATTGATTCATGGAGAAGGAGGGCATCAAAAAGCTAAGAAAGTTTGGAAGAAACAAGTTTGGGTTGTCTTGTCATTGGATTTAATAGTCTGCACCATTTTGTTCATAGTTTGGTTGTGTGTTTGCAGGGGCTTCAAATGCATCGATGCTTGATTGATATTGATACTACTTATGTTGTGTGTTTTTGCATCTATCCCTACGATAGATGTTTTCCACTGAATTGGATACATTACATTCTGGAGGATTAAATGCTTCATGTGTTGTGTTCACCGTTCTCACTCGAGCTACTTCTGTCAAATCTGAAGTCTTTTTCTCAGTATGGGGCCGATTTGATATGTTTCTAAGCAACTTTTTATTAATGTGATGTTTTTAAGTTGTGCATTCTGTGGATATTATGACATATGCAAACTTTTCTTTTTAAGATATTTGTGTTATCTTTGCAGATAACCACTATAAATTGTATGATACTTGCTGGTAAAAAAGGGGAAATGATTTCTTTCTTTCCATGTAATCTATGTATTAACTTTCATCTGTACCCCAAAGATAATGACAACCAGGATTTGAACTATTATGGAAGTGTTGTTCCATTTATGTGATTGTTTTTCTTGTCAAATGAAGCATTGTTTCTACAGTGAACATTGTAAAATTCGTTGAAAGTAACCTGTAGTTTGGACTTTCCCATTTATGTTACATCAAAGGGAAAACAAAATGTGAATGAATTTGGAATGACAGAAGTTTGCATGAAGCAGACATTTTCTGTGATTGAGAGGCTGCTCTTGTTTCTTGGTTCTTTCTTTTGCAGATTCAATAGTAGCGATTGGACGTGATTGTAGTGTTATGGTGTTTTTGAAGCTTCTAAATACAATCCTCTCCAGCTTTTTTGTTAGTTTTGAACAACGAGAATCAATGTTCACTTGATGGTATGTGCAATTTAGTGGAGGTTTCAGTTTTCTACTATTTGAATGTACTTTGAATGAAAAAGTGCAAACTGCATATGCATTATGTAGTAGTCTATCAAACAATAGTTGATTATACAATCGAAATTGGAATCTGATACAATGGTTGCCTTGCACTTTTGGGCCTTGCTGAGTTATTAGGGATCACTTCCATTCTTGTTATTTGAACGGAATCTGTCCATAAGAGAGCCTAGTGAGTTACTTTTTCTACAGCAAGTGACAATTTGTTTGTAGGATATGGCGCTTCTCTAGATAGTTGATGATGTGATTCAAGATTGTTATTTGCTATAAATTCCTCTTTGTTGTATCAGCTACTGCCATGCTGGAGAGATCAATTCTCAAATGGTCTCATACAGCTTGCTTTAGGGTTGGATTATCTTCATGGGTGTTTACAGATGCCAAAGTTGCAAAACTAGTGATACTTCAACATGTGTAATTGGCTTTTTAAATTTCGCATCAAGGTTTTATTGGCTTTGCTTTGTTGGCTTCAAGTTTCTCAAAACTATGCTCATATTTTTCCTTCTCCCGCCTACGCGACACATTCATTCTGATACCTGCTTGGTGTTGTCTTAAATGGTTTCTCATACTCCCAGCAGAAATAAGGTGGATGGGTTATAACCTTAGAGGAGAAAAAGTTTGTGAGTTTTCTCTGTTTGTCCTTTTACACGAAAATGCAGATCTTATATGACTACAAATATCAAATTCTGTCGTCCTGTCTAGGATGATGAGTTGGATCTCAATTATATTTCTGTGAGTAGGGTCATACTTGCATATTCAAGGCCATTGTTCCTTAATGTTCAGCTCGTTAGTTGCCATTAGATTGTCATTTTACGCTTTAGTGGGCAATGAGGATGAATTTGCAAACTTCAACACTAATCCCCAAATAAGTCGTAAAAATTCATTAACTTCAAATTCTTATCATCATATCATGTGAGTTAGTACATATTTTCTGTAAATTTAACTGCAAAGTATTATTTTAAGGATTAAAAGTAATGGGCATAACTTTTAGAGATGAAGGATTGTCATTTGGTGGGATGGCCAGGCCCAAGCACACAACTTGGACCACATTGGGACTCGAAAGCTAAAAAATTTGAACTGATTTGGTGGGGTGCGCCAGGCCCGTGCAATAGTGCAACGCATGGGCGACGTTTGAGAGCCTAGGTAGCAAGCTACCTTGATAGAGTCTCCCCTTAAAAAATTGAGTTAATATCGTGTGAATCGATGATCCACATATCAGATATTAAACTGATAAGAACAGATACTACACTTGATCTTAGCCAAAAGGCCGAGAAAGGTATGCTTTGAAACGTGGCCTGTTTGGAATTTTATAGTAGCCTACAGATTCCTTGTTACACACTGTGAAGATGTGGGAGTTCTGGACAAACGCACCACATTTACTAGAAAATTAAATTTGTTTTTATACATGTAGTTATTTGAAAGAGAAATATGTTTAGAATCAGTTTAAATTGACTTATTTTAAGTTTGTACATCAAAATAGTTTTAAGAACGTTTGTGGTGTTTGGGTAAGACTAGAAAATGTCTTTAAGCACTTATATATATGCCAAAATAACAAAAATTCATCGATTAGAAATCCTTACTTATGATTATTGGCTTTATACGCCCATTCGAATAGGCTTTTATTGTGTTCTTTTCCCTCTCTCGAGCAAGCCGTTCAACATTCTGAATTTTAATTACATTCCTTAGAGTGTCGCCTGATATGGTGTCTATTATCATAAAAGGTTATGGTGTGATGGATAAGATCTCTCTACAATCTCGAGTTTGAACTTTGAGTATAGAAAAAATAATTCTTATAAGGTGCACCTCTCCCTTTAATGTGTCTTGCGTAGCATGAATTTGGATTAATTGAACTTCAATGGAGATGCGGAATCAAATGAGAAACACAAAATATCCATGGTTATAATATATTATTATTTTTTGCATAAACTTTTCCCACTTCCCTATAGTTAAGTTGAATAAAGCATAAGAGAAGTTAAGATTAGAATAAAATCACTTTAAAGTCATGACAAAGAGTCTTTGTCTAATTCTTGGTGAACATTGTACGTTGCTGGTGGGAGATAGGAGAAATTTCATGAAATTAGTCGAAGTGTGCGTAAACTAACCCAAATGTCATGATTATCAAAAGAAAAAAAATCATAATAAAGTGTCAACTAAATTCGAAAATGAATGTTACTCTACAGCCCATATAAATGATGTACCAAAACCTTGCTAAGTTTTTGAATCGTTTAATACCATAACATTGCTTAAGTCCAACACTAACTCCTAGATCTTATTAAAGACATGATCTTAAATATATAGAAAAATACAGAGGTTGAAGATTAAGGTTAAAGATTAATAGAGAATTAAATTATCTAGTTCTCTTCCCAGTTTGTTGTTATCACTCTCTTACTAGTTTATGTTTACATATTATTTCCTTTACCTTATATATCGTATTATTTGTTGTTACAATTCTCTTTTTCATTGTTTTCAATATGACTTTTTTGCTATTGTTACACACCTATTTCTCATATGCATTACTTGAGTCAATATTTATTGAAAACAATCTATCTACCTTCATAAAATAGGACTAAGGTTGTGTACATGTTATCCTTCCAGACTTCACTAATTGTGAGATTACACTTGATATGTTGTTAACAATTTTCTTACGGTCACAAATTCACTTATTGCAATTTTTTGTGACGGTTTATGATGATGAGTTGGATCTAAAGGTATGAAAAGGGTAAAAGCATACATTGCATATTCAATGCCATTGTTTTTTAAAGTTGAGCTCATTAGTTGCCATCAGTCATTAAACCTATAGATGTCCTAGTCCCTATAGTCGAATAACAAGTCGTTATAAGAACTCATAAACTTCAAATTCTGAATCTGTCTTAGATTATCCTCCTAACATTGTTTCGTCGTAATTGGAGCCTCTTATAGGGTAAATGACCTTGCCAAGCATAGCATCTGCACATCATAGAGGTTATATCTGTAAATTTTGAACTGCGAAAATGTCGTTTTTTTAGGATTAGAAATAAATGGACTTTAGTTCCATCCTTTGAAAGAGTTCTGGAGATTGAGAATTGTGAGTACACAATACCCACGTGTATCAAAACTTAAATTGATGTCTTACCCTCTTTGGTACAAGAACAGACTTTGAATATTAAATGTCCGAAAGCATTCTGAAGATAGAGAAAATGAAACTCATCAAAAAAATGAAACTCAAATTGATGTCTTGCCCTTTTAATCAAAATTGTACCGGAACTCAAATAAATATCCTACCTTCTTGATGCAATAAAAATTTGAACATAATTTGCATTAACTCACTATTTAAAAATAAATTTGTTGTGAGCAATTTGGGCCATAATGGGCTACAAGAGCTAAAAATTTTGAACTGATTTGGTGGGGTGCGCCAGGCCCGTGCAATAGTGCAGCGCATGGGCGACGCTTGAGAGCCCAGGTAGCAAGCTACCTTGATAGACTCTCCCCCTTAAAAAAATGAGTTAATATCGTGTGGATCGATGATCCACATATCAGATATTAAACTGATAAGAACAGATACTACACTTGATCTTAGCCAAAAGGCCGAGAAAGGTATGCTTTGAAACGTGGCCTGTTTGGAATTTTATAGTAGCCTGCATATTCCTTGTTACTCAGTCTGTGTAACGATGTGGGAGTTCTGGACAAACGCATCACATTTGCTAGAAAATCAAATTTAGTTTTTACATGTAGTTATTTGAAAGAAAAAGAACTTGTTTAGATTGATTTATTTTAAGTGTTTTAAACCACTTTTGTAGCTCTTGGAATAGGATTGAAAATATTTTTAAACACTTATTTTTATGTTAATAACAAAAATAAGTTGTAAGTCATATGTTAGAAATCTTTACTTATGACTTTTGGCTTATAAATCCACCCAAACAGGCTCTTATTGTGATTTTTTCCCTCTCCCGAGCAACCTGTTCAAAATTCTTAATTTTAGTTACATTCCATAAAGTGTCTCTTGATATGATGTTTATTATATTACTAAAGGTTGTGATGAGATGGATCGATAACATCTTTCTACGGTCTCGAGTTTGAATTCTGAGTATATAAAAATTAATTCTTATAAGGTGCACTTCTCACTTTAAAGAGTCTTGCGTGACATGAATTTGAATTAATTGACGTTAATGCGGATGTGAAATGAATGAGAAACAAAAAATATCCATGGTTATCATAGATTTTATATATATATATATATATATATATATATATATATATATATATATATATATTTATATATATACTTTCCTTACCTCCAATAGCTAAGTTGAATAAAGCATAGGAGAAGTTTAGATTTTAGAATAAAACACTTTGAAGTCATGACAAAGAATATTTGTCTAATTCTTGGTGAACAGTACAGGAGATAGGAGAAATTTTATGAAATTAGTCGAGATGTATGTAAATTGACTCAAACATCATGATTATCAAAGAAAATAAAGAGTCTCAACTAAATTCGACAATGAATGTTATTCTACCCCATATCAACGTTATACCAAAATCTAGATAAGTTTTTGAATCGTTTAATAATTAATACCACAGCATTGCTTAAGTCCAACACTAACTCCTAGATCTGATTTAACCAAATTTGGTGCATGTTGTTCCTCCTATATTGGTCCTACACAGAGAGAGTGGGTGATGGAAATTGATTGATGGTTAAGTACTGAATACGAATGTAAAAAATAATTAGTTGATAAACCACAAGAAAAGACCACACAAGATATATATGTGACACAGGTATTTGTCATGACACGTTTACAGTTTATCAAAGACATGATCCTAAATAGAAAGATATGGAGGTCGAGAATTAAGAATGAAGATTAGTAGGTAATCGTTGTCTAGTTGTTGTTGTTATTGTTCTCATCTTCATTGTTTTCAACATGACTTTTTTCGTTACTATAATTGCTTTACACATCTATTTCTCATAGGTGTTACTTGAGTTGAGGATTTTATCGAAAATTATGTTTCTACCTAGTAAATCGTCATTCATGCCACCCTTCCAAACTCCACTAATAATTATGAGATTACATTGGATATATCGTTGTCCATTGTTAACAAATTTCTTACTGTCAAAATTCACTTATATGCAATTTTTTATGACAGATTTATATCTCCATCAAAAATAATTTTAAGAAAATTCAGATATCAAATGTTTAAAAATGTACGACTAGCTGATCTGGTACGCAATCTTACTAATTTCAAGAAAATAAGGTGACATGTTATTTACATCAAAATAAATAATTCAATTATCAAAATTACAAATTAAAATGAGATCACATCTTTCTGGATTATATTTAAGTTATAAATATTTATTTGGCAATAATAGAGTAATTTTTTTTGTTTTATCTTTCCACAAGTATTTTGCTCAATAAAACTAAAAGGGTAAATCACATAAATATGCTATATTAAAAAAATATTTACCATCTATGACAATATAACTTTTTTAACTTAATATAACATTTTTTTGGAATTGAAAATGTTGTACAGTTTTTCTCTTCGCTTCCTCCTCTTCTTTTTTTTATTCTTCTTCTTTGTCTCTTTCTCCGTCATTTTTCTTCTTCTTCTTTTTGTTCTTTTTCTTCTTCTTTAAAATTTTCATTTAATTAACTATCCTCAAATTAATATTTGCTCATATTTTACTATCTTTACTCAAGAACATGACGAGAAGAGGAACAGAAAAACTAAAAATTTGTATAGAAATATGTTTTCAAGCAGAAATTCAAATCTCTAAAATTACAGCGGTAAGAGTTCACCATTGATAGTCATTATAAAGCTTCAAATTTTAGATTCATTATTTGAATTTTACGAATTTGTGATTAGTTTGGATAGGTTGTTACTATAAATAATTGAAAATGACGTTTGTAGTTTATATCTCAATTTTGAGAGGGTTTGGTTAAGTTTATAATTGGTAACACACTTATACTACATTTATAATACATGCACATTACATTTTTAATACATATTGCAAATATCACTCGTGTTCTTAGTGATACAAACCAAAATAATTTATAAGACACATATAGTACATGTTTTATTCAAAAATAATACAAGCTTAATTCAGTTTATCTTGTCTTTCGTTAGTTACGTTTTTCATTTATTCTTAATTTTCTCTTCTAATTCAACTTTAATACTATGTAATACACTTTTAATGCAAATTTAAATCATTTTGTAGTTTATTATTTGTTACTATTAGATTACTTGTTTAATTCATTATTGATATAAGTTTAATTCACTTTATAGATCATTGTCTGGTCTTTCATCGGTTACATTTTTTATTCATGCTTTACTTCTCTCTTCTAATTCAACTTTAATATTTGTGTAATACAAGTTAATTCATTTTTCAGTTTATTGGTTAATTTGTTATGATTGAATTACTTGTTTAATTCACTATTGATACAAGTTTTATTCAGTTTACAGATCACAAAATGCTCTTTCGTATGCTACATTGCATTCATGTTTAATTCGCTTCTAATTCAACTTTAATATGTGTGTAATACATTTTTAATTCAAGTTTAATTCATTTCGCAGTTTATTATGTTTCTTCATTTGTTACGATTAATTACTTGTCTAATTCATTATTGATACACATTTTATTCAGTCTACGAATCATTGACTGCTCTTTTGGTTGCTACATTTTGCATTCATATTTATTTCTCTTCTAATTCAATTTTAATTCAAATTTAATTCATTTTGTAGTTTATTGGTGATGCGTAGAAAAAAAACCTGACTAATCTGGTCATGCTGATTTAAATCAATTTATAAGACATGTATAATATATGTTTATTCATTAACAATATATTTATAATACATTTTGCAGACTTCACTCTCTTTTTAGTGATCCCAATCAAATTATAATTTATAATACATGCATAATACATTTTGAATGCATATTGCAGACATCATTCCAATTTAGTACAATCTTTAAAACCAACATACATAATAACTTTTAGGGGCTAATTTTTTATAAGAGCTACATATTCGTTAACGTTTATTTTGATCCATATCATTTCTTGTACCACATTAAATATTGAAGGATCATTAATAATACATATTGCAAACATCACTCATGTTCTTAGTGATACAAACCAAAAATAATTTGTAAGACACATATAATAGATGTTTTATTCTTGAATAATACATTTATAATACATATTGCATGCTTCACTCCTTTCTTACAAATGCCAACAAGAATAATTTAGGTAACACACTAATAATACATTTATAAGACAAGCACAATACATTTTTAAATACATTGCAACCGTCACTCATTTTCTTAGTGATACAAATCAAAATAATTATAAGACGCATTTAATATAAATTTTATTCATGAACAATATATTTATATATAGTAATACATCTTGCAAACTTCACTCTCTTCTTAGTGATACCAACCAAATGATTTAGGTAACACACTTATAATACATTTATAATACATGCACACTACATTTTTAATACATATTGCAAACATCACTCACTCATGTTCTTAGTGATACAAACCAAAATAATTTATAAGACACATATAATACTTGTTTTATTCATGAATAATACAAGTTTAATTTAGTCTATAGATCATTGTCTTGTCTTTCGTTACTTACACTTTTCAATCATTCTTAATTCTCTCTTCTAATTCAATTTTAATAATGTGTAATACACTTTTAATGCAAATTTAATTCATTTTGCAGTTTATTGGTTGATTTTGTTACTATGAAATTACTTGTTTAATTCATTATTGATACAAGTTTAATTCACTCTATAGATCAACGTCTTTCATCGGTTACGTTTTTTTATTCATGATTAATTCTCTCTTTCAATTCAACTTTAATATTTTTGTAATACACTTTTAAAACAAGTTTAATTCATTTTACAGTTTATTGGTTGATTTGTTACGATTAAATTACTTGTTTAATTCATTATTGATACAAATTTTATTACATTTAAGGATAATAAGATGCTCTTTCGTTTGCCACATTTTGCATACTCCATAATATCTGGTAATATTGAATCATTAAGGTCAAAGAGAAACCAAACTAAACATGCTGGCGGTTTCACCACAACTTATTTTACTTAGTTGCTTCTCTTTATTTTGAGAGATCGAAAAAGAGCTCATAAAAAGTGTGTAGAGAGAAAGAAAGGAAGAAAGAGTGTGCCAGAGAGAGAAAAAAAAAGAGCGAAAGAGAGAAAAAAAAGAGCGAGAGAGACAATTTAATAAAATACATAGTATTATTATATATTGTTATAAATGATAATAATTAAAGAGTATATTTAAAATATGTAATTATTTCTTAAAAGGGATCCACTCAAGTAATTAATCCAAACTAAAATGCATGCACTAACAGTGAATCCAATTAAAGCCTGTAAATTGTGTCTCATGGCCCAGTGGGCCAATTAACACTGACGGCCCAACGCCCATGTACCATCTCCCTCGTCACTCGACAGGGTTATTTGCACTTTTGCTCAAGTCAGTTTTTAATTTTTGTCCATTAAAGTAAAAAAAGTAAAAATAAAATTATGAGTCATAAATTTATATTTTTGTATCATAATATCTTGCGCCCATAAAAAAGT